TAGCTATTCTTAATCTGTAGCTATCTGTACCTTATTAGGCTGATGAAATGAATGTAGTTTTATATCCTACTGTTCTGTACCTTATTGGACTAATGAATTGAAATAGAGTTTTATTTTCTACTGTACTGTATCTTATTGGACTTATGTAGTTTTATATCCTACTGTTCTGTACCTTATTGGACTAATGAAATGGAGTTTTATATCCTACTGTTCTGTATCTTATTAGACTAATGAAATGAAATGTAGTTTTATATCCTACTGTTCTGTATCTTATTGGACTAATGAATTGAAATGTAATTTTATATTCTACTGTTTTGTACCTTATTGGACTTACCTTATTGGACTAATGAATTGAAATGTAGTTTTATATCCTACTGTTCTGTACCTTATTGGACTAATGAAATAGAGTTTTATATCCTACTGTTCTGTACCTTATTGGACTAATGAATTGAACTGTAGTTTTATATTCTACTGTTCTGTACCTTATTGGACTAATGAAATGGAATAGAGTTTTATATCCAACTGTTCTGTATCTTATTAGACTAATGAAATGAAATGTAGTTTTATATCCTGCTGTTCTGTATCTTATCGAACTAATGAAATGAAATAGAGTTTTATATCCTGCTGTTCTGTATCTTATCGAACTAATGAAATGAAATGTAGTTTTATATCCTACCGTTATGTATCTTATTGGACTAATGAAATGAAATTTAATTATTTAAGATATCAAAACTTTTATTTCATATCTTCTGCACGTAACGTTAATCAAACGCTGGACAGTAGACGTAGATAAGTATCCAGTTGACACAAGTAAGAGTGATTTGGATTATGATATTTACAAACTGTTATCTAGAAATTGACTAAATAAACTCTGGTCGAGTGTGGTAATGTTCTTTAGAAGAGGTAATATTGAAATATCTCTAATCATTTCTAAGTTATATTTATATTACCCCTTATATCTCAAACAGGTTATCTTAAAGGGAAAGGGTCATCTAATCTAAAAGTGTTTCGGATATCAAATCCTCATCTGGACAGCTGTATTGGAAAAGGAGGGGGGGGGGGGGGGGGGGGGGGGGGGGGGTCATATCGTCATATTGTGGGGTTTCAATCTTTTTCTTAACATTACCTCTTGATCTTCTACACCCCACGAAAATCTCATAATTCCTTTGAAAATTCTTCAAACTAAGAATTTTACTCACTATTTCTATATATATCTTTTCTATATATCATGAGTATCTTCAATGGATGAGTCGTCATTTTAACATTCAAACACAGATAATTCTGGACACTGTACCCAAATATATCACTTTATACAAGTATAGTCATCTCAATTCGTATCCAAACGACGTCGATAAACCCCACCCTAACCAAGTGAGCTACAGCACTCCCCAATCAGTGAATGAGAAGGTAAAATCAATAAACTGAATCAAGTTAAAGATCGATAGTTGTTAATCAATTAGGGTATGATTATCAATATATCGATCTGGATATTAAACACCGATATATATTATATTCTATTATTCTTGTATTCAGCGGGCTGTAATAAACATGATATTTCTAATGAATATGATATTTAGGTTAATATCCTGTCAATATTCACTCGATATGTGAGATTTTTTTGAAAGGTTTGGTATATTTAATGATTTAATGGGGTTGTCAAGGATTCGTGAAAGGGGGGGGGGGGATTAATGGACTAGTTAAAATTACTTTGGGTAGTCTATGTTAACAATTTATAGGCTAATAGTACTCGCAATTAAAAGGCCTGCTTTTTTAGGTACCCATTTTAGAACATGGAGGAAAATGTTATTTTTTGAGGTAGAGTGAACAGGTCAAAACATAATCACCCCGCCCCACACCTCATACTACACTTAAAAAAATGACAACCTTGTAGATATCCACAGTGTGACCTTCTGGAACCTCAGCGACACTATCAGAAAAATCATTGCTTTGGAATGCCTTTAATTTGCAAGATGAAATTAAGTTCTACTTCTTACTCTTCTGTACCTCGTCAAAACTTGTGAAGACGGATAAAGTCATGCAAAATGTACAATGAGGGAAATTTAGGTTCCCAAGGAGTAAAAAACAGATCTTACCTACTGGAGTTTAAACCTATAACTGATTATGACTAAAATACAATATTTGACTCGGTATCTACCTACTTATAATCAGATTTGATAGGCTTCAATAACTTCTTACAGTAGTCAACAAGATTATCGTCATTCAGGTCGCTACAGGCTATATAAAGACAGTCGTACCGTAGCCGAATAATGATAGAGATCAGAGGATTATCGTCCTTCAGGTCGCTACAGGCCTTAAAATGAGAATGACAGAGATTAGGGATTAATCCTCCTTCAGGTCGCTACAGGAGATACTGGTACATTACTGTAATAGTAGAATGTCGGAGATCAGGGGATTATCGTCTTTCAGATCGCTGCATACCTTACAGATAGACCAAGTTGTAGAGTTGCTCCGGAACCTTGCTGAATTCGGCGTCTTTCAAGACGCTTCAAGCTATATCGGTACAGAAATTTACTAGTAGAATGCCAAAAATCATGGGATTAACGTCCTTCAGGTCGGTACAGGAAATGCAGGTACATCACAGGTGTGGAATTGAAGCCTACTTCTGTTCAAGTGTGGAGATTAACGTTCATCAGGTTTCTACGAGTACAGTACTGTACGTACTAATAAAATGACCGAGTTTAGGGGATTATCGTCTACGGGCAATAAAAGTAGAGCAAAGGTACGTGTCCAAGTTCGGAGATTGAGAGGGATTAGTTCAAATTCCCCCCTTTGGGTCGGAACAGGAAATTCAGGGACATCACGGATATGGAATTGTACTATGACTGAGGGATTAACATCTTTCGAGACTAGACAGGCTACAGTGAATACAATCCTACACACAAAATTTCTTGAAAATCTGAACAAAACAACATTCCATTGCATTCAAATGCCAAACTTGTAATGGAATTGGTCGGTAGTAAGATTTTTTTCAAGGTGACAGTCCATTTTTTTGTGACCCCCTGTAGCTTGGAACCAGATCATTACAATGTGGGCGTAAGGGAATCACCAGCATGATCCATACGAGAGCAACCAAGTCAATCCCAGAGGATTATCCAGTTTAAGAGTTAAGAGTGATTATTATGTATTCAATTATTAATGTGCGAATATACATACCTTTGCCCACAGATCAAAGACCGTCACCAGGTGTGACTAAATTGACAAACTGGAAAAAAATATTGACACGACCCCGTTTCTCAAAAATTCGTACGACAAAACTTGCCCGTTAAGTGAAGAAAAACGTTATTGTTGTCGTTATCAAATCGTTAGTTTATAACGTTTACGCTCGCACGTTAATCTGTGAATTTTGAGAAATGCGTTCCTGACAGAGACGTCATAAATGAATAGTGTCCGTTGAAGGGACAGTTTCGCCATCCGTCTGACCAATCGTACCTCAGTCTTAGTATCAGTAATAGTGTTCACAGCTCACCTTCGAATCATAGTGTGTTCAGATTTACCCGCGTTTCAATACTAACGTGACGACTCGTCTTTTCTCGAGACTGTCATAAATAAAAAAGACAATAAATAAGAAACAGTAAGTGAAATTCTCAGTTTGAAGTATTTTTGAAGTAATTACGCAGTTCTAGTACTTCTGAAATCTTTTGATATCTGGAGACCTAAATCAACTCGAAAATGGCGAATCTATCCCAGTCTTAGAAACCCTGACTCAATCTATAGACAATGTGATACATCGAGTAGGGGTAGTAAAATTGTCAAGGGGGCTTACAGACGATTCTTTGTCTATAACTAGACGTGCTGGGCCAGATGCAGTTTCTGGGAGGGCCACAGTCGCCCAAAACTGCATCTGTGCCAGCACTCCTATTTATTACGGAAAAAATTAAAATTAAAATTTTTTGAATAATGAATTTAAGACTTTTATTGGTTAACAAAAATCTGTTTCAACCAATCAAATGCCTCACAGGCTTGTTTCTGCTATCTGATTGGATATAATATACTGGATATAGAGTATAATTACATGTAATATAATTGAATTAGAGTCTATATCAGTTGGCTTGAGCAGACTTTTCATCTACCAACTAACTAACTAGCCAAACTAATCTGGTCTTACCTATACCTCAGACATGATATCCAGACACAAGAGGTCATATTTTATAGAGGCTCCTCAAATCCAATTTAGGATCATCAGTTTATGAGAATTTTCACCATTCTAAAGCAAAATTTGTCAGAACTTTTTGTACCTACAGAAAGCTCTTGTAAGGTTCTCTTCCATCGCAAGACTAGCTGTCCTGATGAGGATGTTTTATCTAAAACGTGTCAGCAGCATAAGATGGGCTCAAGTATAATGATTTTAAGTAAGATTTTGTAAGATTGAGTTTTCAGACTATTAATAAATGTGACACACATTAAAGGGACAGATGTGCCATTTTATTGACCAATCATACCTTAGTCTCGGAAACGTGAATTTTTTTAGATCAGGCAATCAGTAATATTGTTCACAGCTCATCATCGAAATTTGAGCCTTCAAATCCATGTGTGTCCAGAATTATCTGCATTTGAAAACACTGAAAACACATCTATAGAAATAGGAAAAGAATTTCCTAGTTTGAGATATATTTGAAGGAATTATGAGATTCCTACATTTGTAGTACTTCTGAAGACTATTGATAAATAGTAAAGATGCAAATCAACGCCCCAAAATGGCACACCTGTCCCTTTAAGAATAATAACTGAACAGAAAACTGATTACTAATTAAATGATCAGTTAAAAAAAATTGTTTTTATAATGCCACAAAGATATTGGTTCATACAACCTCATTTAAATCAACTTGGCTGCCACTGGCAGAGTCAGCAAGATATTAAAAAGGCTAAGAAAAACACATTTGGGAAGCCAAAACAAAATGGCTGACGAAAATCGGCAAAAATTGTTTATATGGCAGTACATTTATCACAAATTTATCACGTTTTGGCATTATATTTTTTCACTAACTTCCTAGATATCCATTCTCACTTTTATGTTTACTTTCCAAATAAAACTTAGGAATTTTACAATTGAAGGATGTTCCGTCACGCCTCTCCATCCGATAACTACCCCTGAAATATAGTAATAAGAGTGAAGAAAGAAGTTCATAAAAACTGAGGTTACAAATAAAGATATCTGGGCTCCATTTCTCTAAATATCGTAGATTAACGTACGAGAGAAAACGCTCTAAATTAAAGTTTTTCATCAATTAACATGCAAGTTTACACAAATTTGTACAAAACTGAGTCCTGCTAGAAATAAACTATTGTATGAGCAAAATAAAAGTTTTTAAGAGAATTGGAATATCAGCCTCAAAATAGTACTGATAGTCTTAGAATGTCTTTATGTTGATAAAATATAATATTTTGTAAGTTTTCATTGAAAAGAAACTCATTTCCCTCCTAGAAATTTCAACCCAAAAAAGTCACAAATTTTGGCCTAATAAAGCAAATTTTGAAGACATAATGTTTACCGTATCTTTCCGAATATAATGTGCAAGCGTGTATAATGCGCACCCCTTCCTTACCCCATCAAAATCCATTTCATTTACCCGTATATAATGCGCACCCCTTGTTGACAAAAATTTGAGGTTGGAGATGGCATAACACAGACACCAAAATAGTGAGTGATAACAAGGTATATTCCACGTATCACCTCACTTCGACTAACATGAAAATTTTGTACAATATTTCTTCAGTCATTTTAAAATTAACCATCATTTGTTATTTCTTTCCCTGTGAAAATGAGTCTAAGTTGACAAGATCACACGCGTAAGATTCTCGATTCATAAGACAAAACTTCTTCTGTAAGGAGCCCATTTTGGGGTAAAAAAACTGTGCATTATATTCGGAAATATATGGTATATTTTTATGCTAGTAGTGTATTACGATGGTATAGAATAGTATAGTATAGAAACAATGTAGGAGTACTATAAACTACACTTACCACATATACCCACTGCCTGCATGTAGAACAACATGACTACTATATTGGTAAGCTTTATATGTTGGGTCTTCTCCTGATAATATTGGTTGCTGTAAAAATACATAAAATACAATAAAAGGAATAAAAAACAAATAAAGTAAAATTTGATTAGTATTTCGTTCCTTTTTTAATAGCTTTTATTTTAATACAGACACTTCAGTTAGGGTCTAGCGACAGCCCTCTTGAACGTTCGTCAAAATAACCTTTTGACCTAACCTGATAAACACAGCATCACAAAATGCCAGCTCTGGACAGAGTGGAAATTTGATTGGTTAAAACAGACATCATCAAGTTAGGTCAAAAGGTTAATTTGACGAATGTTCAAGAGGGCTGTTGTTAGACCCTAAATACATAAATTAGTACATAAGGCTACAGAAATATGTTAGTTGGCAAATATCTGGGATAAATTGTTCTGAACTTAAGATACACTAAAAAATAGGACAATCCATTCAGGGCAAATTGACAATATTTTGGTAGCTCGGCTCATGCTCCAGACAAGTTTTGAATACACAATCCTCATCAGGACAACTACTTTTGGAAATAGGAGTTGGCGTACAAATATAAGACTTAAGGTCAGATAATTGACTAGTGCTCATCTAATACTGCAGACATGTTTTGAATACACAATCCTCATCAGGACAGTTAGTTTTATTAATTGAGGTTAACTCTTCAAATAGGAAATGAAATGAAATGAAGAAATTTTACGCACTACTTTTCTGCACATAATTAGGCTAATGAAGACGGCCAACACCATGCAGTGTACAGTGAGGGAAATTTTGACAGGTCAGCAGCATTAGCCTACTGCTTTTTTCGATTTCCAACTGTCCAGGGATCTCTAAGGCACAGCCTGTATTCACTAATAGGAGCAAGGAGAAGAGAAAATAGAAATTTGTAACTTCTGTTAAGAATACTAAATATTTCTAACAAATCAGCCACTCACTTCTCCCAGCACCCCTCTGCCAGTGACTCTATCAATGGACCCAGTTAAAGACATGATTTTCCATGCTCTTTCACGTAATTGTACAGTTTCTTCCCCAAGGTTCTCTAATCTAACACAATAACGCCACTGGAATAAAAAATAACACTTAAACATTGTCATGTAGACCCTAGGGATGTTGAAAAGACCTTATTCATGTGTCGGCCATATTAAATCTAGAATGCTGCTCAAATGCAAACAACCCAAATGTCACTGCAGTAAAATCACTAAAGCCTCCTCCAATCCTAAAACTAATCATATTAATATCATTAAAATCAGAGTTGATAAAGCTATTTAATGATACTTTCAGATGAATTTTACCATTACACATTTCTGAGAAAGGGCAGGTTCATTGTGTGCATTGCCCCACCCCCACTCCCTATAGCTACTGGCCTGATAATTGGTAGGGTGCAAATCAATGCCATGGATGTCCCTGAAACACATTAAAAGATTAAAAATCTATTTTACAATCTCTTTAATTAGTAACATAACTTCTACTTACATAATATTCAAAATGGGTTTGTCTTGTTTTCTGAAATACAAAAAAAAAAATACATTTTAACATCCAGTTTTACTGAAGCTTCTAACTTTTGACATGTTTCAGTAAGTTTGACCTAGAGATGGGTTTAAATTTCAATTACATCCTCGTGAAAAATTCTAAATTATTTGTCACTATGTATAATATGCATTACCAGTTTAGCACGCCCTTTTTAGAATTAAAAAACTTCTCATTATACACTTCCTTTTGTGGAAATGGAAATGAGATAGTGTGTTATTAATATCTGAACAATCAGATTGCGGTTAAGTTACAACAGAAAACATTTTTTATTGGACAATATTTAGACATGAATACGTAATTGTATTACCACAGATTCGAGGAAGTATGACTAATGGGGGTGTGGTTTGGACGAATGGGGGTGTGGTTTGGATGCGATGACTACAATAAATGATCTTAACTTGTATTTCTGATACCAAATCCACCATCAGGACAATAAGAAACATGGAAAGAGAAAAGTATAATGACCTTTTTGCCCAAATAAAAGGGAATAACTGTGACTCTGATATTTTCTGTTGTTTCACGACGAACTTCAGACAGCTGTAACTCAGTGATGTTTTTATCATGCCATGTTCGTAACATTTCTGTCATAACAAAAGGAGGTGCTGGAAAAAATATATTCACATAAAATTCGTCAAAATAATAAATAATATATAATAAATATATCTAACATAATAAACAGAGCATCACATAATGCCAGCTCTGGAGAGGGTGGAAATTTGATTGGTTAAAACAGACATCATCAAGTTAGGACAAAAGGTTAATTAAAGTATATTCACATAAAATTTTTGGTTGTTTTGTTGATTTGGCTATATTTTCTGAACATAAAACGGCAGCAGAAATGTCATTTTTTTTCTAAATTTTCAAATCAAAAGAAATTTAGCTAATTTATTGCAGACAAAAGTGATACTAAAAGTAAAATATACAAAGAGAACCCATTCCATTTAATTCTAAAAGCTTATTCAACCAATGAAATAACAATGTTTACTGACAATATGTGTCCATACATGGCAAGTGGTAGGGTTCAATTTAAGCTGTATCACATCGCAATCATAAATAAGTTCTCGCTACGCCTCACAATAACCTCGTGTGCAACTGGCGGATAAATCAGGCTTCTTTCAAATATTAGATCATGTGACAATAGCCCAATTTTCATCACCATTGTTGACATCTGACTAGTCTCTGACACCCAGACTTCTGTCTACAACGAGGACAGAGTCTACAAGGGAGATAACTAACTTCTAACGAACTAGCCTATATATTTTGTAACGCGGATGTAACTTCTGCCTAACAATTACAGAAGATTTTCTTCCAGCTGCATACAAAGTTATTGTAAGACAATGGCCCCCGTAGATGGGACTATATCGCATCGCAGTTTGCGATCCTATCTTTCCTTTCATAAGCCAAATTAACATTTACCACGTCTATCTGCGAATCAAATCTAATTATATATTTGAAAGTTTACTACTAGAACATTGCTACCAAATTTTTAAGGAATGTGAATCAAAATATAACTTGATTAGCCACAACAAAACTTTGGTGTGATAAATTGACAAATTTTTCAATCTTAATTGAACCCTAGAGTGGCGGCATAAAAACTGGTAATCATACTTACAGCTTTCAGGATCATAAAGTAAAAACTTATTAAAACATTGATTAACTATTGGTGTTTTCTCTTTACTGTGATAAGGTATAATATCATCATGAGCTACGTAATCTAAACCTGAAAAACACAATTTAAAGGGATATTCTACTTTTTTTGTATAACATTTTTATTATCAAAGATAGTGGACCACAGCCATATAGTTTCATCAAAATCGGTTGAAAACTAAGAGAGTAATAGCATATTCAAGATTTTGGGGCAAGGTCGATCGGAGCTTCATCGGTCGAAAACAAATTCAAACTTGATCTTCGTTTTATGAATATGTATACACATACCAAATTTCATTTGATTCCATCAAAAAATCTAGTTTTTAGAGCGTTTACAAGCAAATGTTGATGGACGGACGGACAGGGGTGCCGACAATATACGTCCACATAGAGAGATGTGGACGTATAAAAACTAAAATTATTTCTCAAGTATGCTATTTATATATACGTATCTTTTTGATCAAACTGAATTTGTTTTAAAAAGGAGAGTGCTCATTGTCTGAACTATTCCACTGTCACTAAATTAAAAGTATGATATATAGACACGGCTTTATGGAACAACAATTACTGGTTAAAGTTTTATGCAACGCTTCATAATATTGGCAAAATTCATCACTGCGATATATTACAGAGTGCTAGCGTAACAATCACTAAGGAAAGTAGGATATAAATAAATAATCAATACACCTACCTCTGATCCTGTTTGACACCACACCTTGCTCAATAAATGTTACTGATTCAGCTCGAATTCTCTAAAATATATTCACAAAATATTCTAGAAATGCAAAAAATCAAGATCGATTTTGATTGGCTAAAATAGCGTAGTGATTTTCAGGCAGTCAAATCACTGTTTAATCAAAAATTTACAAGATTAAATAGTTTTCATTTCAAAAAAAATAATTCTACTCTAATCTACATAAAATGACTGACTGGATACACTTACAATATATGGATAGTCTCTTTCATCCATTAATACTTCATAATACGTCTGTTTTTTACCTGTAACTTGGGAAGAATCAGATGTAGTTTTTTCATCTTGACTTCTAGATAAAAAACAATTCAAATATTTACAAAATAGTTCAGAAATCAAAGATAATCAAACCACATCCCATGACAAGACATGAGAAAAGGGACAGCTTCGCCATTTTTAGGGGTTTATTTGAGTCTTGAATATATGTAAATAGTCTTCAGAAATACTAGATATGCAAAAAAAATCGTACTATTCCTGCAAAAATATCAATCAATCCCCCAAAATGGTGAAATCTGTCCTTTTAAAGCCACTAAACTCATTGACAAAGAGTGACAGAAATTTCAAATTAGCACGTTCAGTCAGATATACAAATTGAAAGTAATTTAAGGAAAACTTACTCTAGCCACTGAACAAAACGGCAAAGAGCGAAAAAAATATTAAAAATTGCCAAAACCTACTTTTCTTCCCGTTTAGTGACTTTATCATGGTCATAAACTGTCACCCTCCATGGGTTTAACACAATACCTCGATAACCCAACACTTTATGTAGAAAAAGCTGAAAATAAAAAAAAATACTGATTTTTAGGGTTTTTATTTTAGTCTAGAATATATGTATAAGTCTTCAGAAGAACTAAAGTGTACAAAAATCACATAATTCCTTTAAAGACACTTCAAACTAGGAATTTTACTCACTATTTCTATATAGTTATGTCTTTTCTATATATCACAGAGTATCTTAAATTGACGAGTCGTCATTTTAACATTCAAACACAGATAATTCTGGACACTCCTGGATTTGAAGGCTCCAATTTCGACAATGAGATGAACACTATTACTGATTAGCTCAGCTATAAAATTTCAGTTTCTGAGACTACAGTATGATTGGTAAAGAAATGACACCCTTAATTAAAAACAGTATTTTAGTTGATGACGTAACTAGGCTATTGTATTTGTAGTTTGTTGCCTACTCTCTGATAACAATGATTTCTAAATTGAATTTTGGTAATAATTTTCATATGAATTGAAATATCAACTATAAAATACTACTGAATGTCTTAGATTGTCTTTGGGTTGATGAAAATGTTAACCACTGGAAAAGTTATTTGTAAACATGGTTTTATAGAGAAGAATTTTGAGTCCGAAAAAGCAGGTCATTTTCACGAGAATTTTCTGGGAGGGAAGTGTATCTATTCTAAATGTAAAATCACTGAACCTTATATTTCTATGGGCCCAAAGACATTCTAAGACAAATGGCATAAAATTAAAAATGTTTTTAATATTTATGAAATGAGAGAAAAAATTCAATTCAAAGCTCATCGTAGTCAGACAGTACACTAAGTGAATTAACAAATTACCTGGCCAACTTCGTATGCTTTGCCTTCTTCTTTGATGGGCTCCAACTGACCTACCTCCTCATATCTACAATTATAGCAATCAAACACAATCAAGTTTCCTTAGACTTGAAATTGGGTCTTGAACATAAGTAATTAGTCTTCAGAAGTAATATGAAAAGTTGCATAATTCCTCCAAAAATACTTCAAACTAGGAACTTCACATTCTACTTCTATAGTAAGACTAGGTGACAAAGGCTACAAATGGGAAATGCTATTCTGATAGGACACATTGTCATCTTATACCTTGACTGCAATAGTCACCTTTCTTGTATCATGGAAGTTTGTAAATGCAGTGATTTGCATGGATTGTGCCTTAATGTTTGCTGTGCTGTCATTGGCTGTATTCAATGGCATACAATCCAATCATTTAGCTGTATTCTGTGAAACAAGAAAAGTGTCTATTGATGTCAAGGTATAAGGCGAAGTTCATAGACATAATAGCTAAACATTGTGAAGATGGACAGGACAATGCCCAGAGAACCAAGTAGAGAAGATTTATTTTGAATGTTCAGCTGAGACTCTTGATATGAAAGTCTCTGATAGATCTATACTGGGTATAAGTGAGCTATGGCACTGACACTTGATTCTAATCTATGACATCACAGTATCTGACAGTACAGCAACTCAAATTCCTCTTAGATTTTTTTTATGACCTTTTGGCTTTGGCTCAGAATATCACGCGTAGTCGTAATGCAAACCATAACAATTGCAGTTGATAGCAAAAATAAACGGAAACAATCGCATCCAATACCTTGTAGATGAATATCTGCATTGTGAACGTTGGTTTTGCAGTGGAATCAAAACACGAAATGAGATTCTGCGTATGAAAAAGGCCATGTTTATACTGGAAGTAGAATGGTATTAGCTCCCTTGACACATCAAGGGCAGACAACTCGCATAGAAACACTGACCTTGTCATCTGACTGGGATCACATTTCGATTTTTGTCTAATTAATGCTTTCATTCTTCGTTATTTCTGGACAAATTATTTCAAATATGTTTGCACAATGTCTGTAAAAAAAACAGCCAGAAAATCTCACATGGCGTCAAAAGTTAGATAATAAGAGACCAGACCTTCCCCTTCCCAAACCTACCAATAGCCTACATCCATGAACATTCAGATGTAGCAGTCAATCCAAATTAGGGGAGGGGCGCCAGTGCCACAAAATCTTAACCAAAATGAAGTTAAGATCTTTAGACATACATATTGTGGAACAGTATCTGATAGGCTAATAAAATCGATTTTAGACATTGACCAAGTTATTGCGAGAAAACACAGAAAAGTTTTTGATTTTATTAAATAAAAAAAAATCAAGATGAACAGCTCACTTGTAATGTTTTAGACCAAGATGGAGGTTTAGATGAATAATGTGATAACTCAGCTTCCAACTGAGTCACAAATGGCCGAGATAAAACTCTTAGCAATTTTTTCACTTCTGAGAAATCTCCATTTTCAGCTCCTTCTATAGCCTGCTGTGCCATCCAATTTCTTAAAATATATTTTGGATTCGTTTCACTCATAATTTTTCGTCTTTGAAAATCTGAGATTTCTTCAAAAGCAAATCTTTCAACATAAGTTTTAATCCAGTTTTCAAACCACTTATGTTTTTGCAATTTTTTCAAACTCCAAAATTTTTTGGGAATTTTATTACGAGTTAACGCTGCTAAAGTAATTTCTCCCAAATTTCGGAAAGTTATAGTAAAATCTGATTTTTTGTCTTCCATCATTTTTAAAAACATGGCAACCAACTGTTCATCTTCTTCACCAAGATTTTTCTGAAGCCCTAATTTCCGTCTAAAAATCTCCATAAATTTAATCTTATAAATGACAGAAAACTGTTTCATTATTTCACTTAAAGAATTCTGTTTTTCTTCCTTCAATAGCGGTCTCAAGGCTGTTTGTAATTTTTCTAAATTAAAAATGGCTACATCTGGTTGTTTTTCGTAGCAGTATCTCCCTTCGTCATCTGAGGTGTTTGGCACAAAACTAGGTTTATACTCTTCCAGAAATCCAAACGGGCCGTAATCGATCGTTATTGACAACAAGCTGAAATTATCAGTATTACAAACACCATGAGCGAAACCAACACTTTGCCACTGCGCCACTAAACTTGCTGTTTCAGTCACAACATTCCAAAAAAATTCTGTGTATTTTTCATCACTTTGTGAGACAATTGAGTGAAAATGTTCCTGGATTATGAAATCAACCAATTTTTTCAAAAGATCCATTTCACCAGATTTTTCTAAAATTTCCAGAGATCCAAATCGGAACCAAGATGGCGCTAAACGAAGTACCACTGCTGCTTGCTCAATTTGAGGATGTCCATCATAAAACTGATCTCTTACGACTTCATCCTGACTGACAACTATTCCTGCCGCTCGACTTGTTGGGATTCCTGAAAATATAAGTACCATAAATTAACATAATTTGATTGAAATCGTGAAAGGAGATTTTCAAATCACAATCTTAAACTTAATACCACTATGCAAAAAAAAAAAATTCAAAATGGTGCAGGCTATAACTTAACTTAATAATTTGATTGAAATTATGAAAGGAGATTTTCAAATCACAATCTTAACCATAATACAAAAATGAACATAAAAATCTAACTTCTGAGGAAATTCAGCATGATTGGAACTAACAGAAAAAATAGCTCTTATGTTTTTATTATACCTATACCTAGATAATACATGGCTTCACTGCAGAGAAATTCTCGAATGGATGAACGTAAAACAGCTCTACCATCCCCTCTTCTAGAATAGGGAGTTTTACCAGATCCTTTCAGCTGTAACTCCCATCTCTGTCCCTTGGTATTAACATACTCTCCCAACATCACCGCTCGTCCATCCCCCAGCTGCTCGGCCCAGTATCCAAACTGATGCCCCCCATAACGATGGGACAATGGCACTGACCCTTTTACTATCAAAGACCCTGCCACTAAGTCAGTAAACGATTTTTCTGTTGTTACATTTGAGTTTAAGTCCAGAATTGAGTTCAAAACATCAGCTGAAAATGCAACTAGTTTGACAGGTGTCTTAAGAGGTTCTGGGTTGACTTTTGAAAATATTGCCCCTGATACTCTCCTTACAAAATTTCTTTCTTCAGGGTCTATTGGAAATGTGTTGTACAAAAGTTTGGAATTTGGAAATGGCCATTTTGTAAGATCTTCATATTTTGGTGCTTTGCAAAAGTTGATACTTTTCATAAAATCAAAGAAATTTTGAAAAGCATGTGCCCATGATTGATTAAATGAACAGAAAATTAACAGTGTCAAAAGAAAAGTTGACTTTTTCTCAAATATCAGCATTGTTTTGCTTACAGTAGCACATTGTTGCTATTTTTTCTGTCAAAAAGTTTATTTATAGTAATAACACGTGTACTGAATGTTTACATCTGACGTCATATTTGACCTATATTTATTAAAATTAAGCAATCGCTCTTTCAAACCTAAAACGAATAATAATAATAACAAAAAAACCCAAAGACTAATAAGTCCTAAGTCCAAATCAAATGAAATTAAGAGAAAGCCGCTATCTCCAATAGATAAAGCTAGATCATTAGATATTATTGCATAATTTACAACCAAATAATTTCAAATTCTTTTCAAAAACTCTAAATTTGTACGAAACCCTTTAGCTCTACTTTCACTTTTACTTTTTGGGCGAGAATTTACTCTCAAGGTTTGCCTTTGAAAATGTCTGAGGTTCAGAAACAAATGGAAGAAAAATTGAAGACAGAATTAAAAACCACTCATCTGGTAAAAGGCTAACTATTTTCGATTCGTTCCTTCTAACTTTACATAGATTTTTAAATGCATGTAAGATTGTAATTGGCGTCTTTTAACTGCCGACAATCAAACATAACAGCCGAAGACTCATTAACTAATTAATTGATTGACTCATTCCTTGACTAGCCGTCTTTTCTTTAAAACAGTATGAGATTGGCTCTAACTCTGTCTTTTGACAATTTATTGTGTATGATTCCAGAAACTGAGAGATTTATCAGATGGATGTGGTGCCAAGTTTGAAGCTATGATTGTCTCCCCTTTATTTGAGGGTAAACCACTTTTACAAAGACACAGGTTAGTAACCTAAAAACATCAAAGAAATTACAATACTCTGTCAATCAAACATATAACGAAAGTTTGACTTAAGCAAACAGTATCTAAAAATCTGAATGATGTGCACAATGGTGGCATGAACATGTTGATATAAGATTTGAACGACATATAGAAGCGAAGAGCACATATAACAAAACACAATGGAATATAACACACAGGTTGGGCACATAATGTTTCAACATAAAAGGGGTAATAATAAGTGATTAAGAGAGACAATAGATATAAGGGTATATGTTTGCTCGGTACCTCCTCCATGACTTCGCAATGTTTATACCCTTTTATCTATTGTCTCTCTTAATCTCTATATTGTTTCTTGTTGATATATATTTTGTTATGTTTTATTCTCTTCCCATTACATCTGATGACGACACGTGTATATTGTGTTAAAACGTTATGTGCCCAACCTTATTAAAGAAGTGTGTTATATTCCATAATATTATCTTAAATATGTTGATAGTTACCCCAAAAACTGTGACCTTATCCAGTTCCTCAGAGGATGATATCACATCCGTATATCATGAGGAAGAGCCGTGATCATATCACATCCATGTAGCACATGTGAGGAACTCGGTAGAGCCAGAGCTGTGATATTACATCCATATATCACATCTGAGGAACTGGGTAGAGCCAGAGTTGTGATATCACATCCATATATCACATCTGAGGAACTGGTAGAGCCAGAGTTGTGATATCACATCCGTATATCACATCTGAGGAACTGGGTAGAGCCAGAGTTGTGATATCAGATCCGTATATCACATCTGAGGAACTGGGTAGAGCCAGAGTTGTGATATCACATCCATATATCGCATCTAAGAAACTGGGTAGGGCCAGGGCTGTCTGACTTGGTTGTAAGATTTCTCAAAAATTGGCCCAAGAATTTTCCTCAGAATTTGTACCGATTTCTTGAGCAATGCATCCCAAGAATTTTCTGGTATTTGTACCGATTTTTTTAGCAATGGGGCCCAAGAATTTTCCTCAGAATTTGTGGTGATTTCTTGAGCAATTGGGACAAAGAGTGTATTAAGCTTAATTTTTTTTTTACATTTTTTATTCTAGACTAGTAAATTCCACAATTCAAGAAGAAATGAAAATAGTTCACGCCTTTCAAATGAAAACACTGACTCCAGAACAGTGGGAAAAACAACAAAAATGACGTGTAGAGAATAGTTTTTATTCACAGTGTTAACAAGAAAAATAACTAACAAAAAACATACTGAATGTAAAAGAAGAAAAAAACATAAGTATGTACACAGAAAAATGAAAACTTTTCAGAAAGTGATGACACTCACAATATCAGACTGTTTTTAATCTCACCTGTATGTGAAACCATGTGGACTCACTCCACTAATTCATTTGCCATCTCTTCCCATATTAAAACACGAAATTCAACCTTCTACAATTTTTTCCAGAAATCTCGTTGAAAGCTTTCCAATATGTCGAATGAAAGCCTGAACAATTCTCAATGTCACCTAAAAAATTCATTATATGATGACCATGAAAATTTTGAGCTACTAAAATTGAAAGTAGACTACTACCGGTTATACTCATCCGCTAGAGTTTGACACTTCACAAAAGGACTATTTTTAGAATTAGCCTTCTGCCTTTTTAGGTCTCTCATCATCTCATCAAATCTGAAAGATAATGCAATTTCAGACACCAAATTCCAAATCTAGACCAAAAATTACTCAAAAATAGGCATGCAAAAACCCCAAAAGGGAGAGAGAAAGAAGATTTCTAAAAAATCATTTGCATTAAATGTTTTAGTGGAGTGAGTCCATGTGATATTAATACAAGGGAGATAATGAGAACTGTAATGGTCGCTTAATTGACTCATTTTGACATCATGGTCAATGGTCGGGTAATGGAGGTGGTATTTTAACAATTGATAATCATATTGAAAAGTTGTAGGAGGGAGTTTATTGTGGTTGCATATTGAAGGTGGTTGCTTAATAAAGGTGGTCACATGAGCAGGAATCACTGTATGGAAAACATGGGAAGGGATGGTGATGAATAGGGTGAGGAGGGAATGTGAAGAAGGAGTAACCACAACGGATCTGTATTTTGTGGGCTAATAATAAAATGAACAATTTTCTGATCTGTTGGTAGCCAAGATATCTAGACAGTCTAAGATTTGAAGGACATATAGAAGTGAGGAGTACATATCACAAACACAAGACAATATTATAGAATAAAACAAACTTCTAATAAAATCTTAAACACATAACCTTTCAACACAAATTACACGTGTCATCATTAGATGAAATAATGAGACAATAAAACATAACAGAATATATAACTACTAAGAATACTAGGGATCAACAGGGTAAAAAAAAAATAGAGACAATTCATGCTGGATGAACAAAAATAAACAACAATACCAGCATGATACATTTATGTTTAAAGGGACAGGTTCGCCATCCATTTGGCCATTCATACCTTAGTCTCAGATCAGGGTTTTTTAATCTAACTAAGCCAATCAGTAAGTGTTCACAGCTCATCGTTCAAATTTGAGCCTTCAAAATTTTTTGTCTAGAATTTTCCGTGTTTGGAGGTTAGAAAGACAACGCATCTTTTCTTGAGACTCTGTGCCATTATTCACCAAAAATTTATAAAAAATCCAAATACAGTGCATAAAATTCAATCATATTTCTAAAATATCAGAATTTTTTAAATTTTTGTACCAAAAAAAAAGCCAACAAAAAAAGCCAGAGTCAAAATGGCGAGGGCATAACAAAAATATCTAATCCATGGGGCAGGTATATCATATACGGACAGGTTATTATTGAAATTACAGGTGATCATTTGGAAGGATTTAATGTCCTGCTGTAAGTTTTGTACTATTTGATAATATCCAGTTTCATTTAAACAAAAGATAAATGATGGCAAACCTCTGTCAGAGGAATTAAAGAGGATTTTCATTAAATGTCTCAGGGCATGTCTATTTCCCTCTTTTTCTAATTTCAAATTTATAACATTCATCTCATTCCAGTCTATAACATTTTCACTATACAGATAATCCAGGACATCATCAACTTGAATATTTTTCATGATACTATGGTAATTTTTCCTCAATACTTCCTCATGGTAGCTTGGGATTGTACCTCTTGGTTTTACATCATTCTTTTCTGAAAATACACCATGATGATGATAAAAGTTACATCACAAGTTTAATTTGTGAAACAAATTCATTTTCATAAAAAAACAGATTCGAATTTTCATCAAGCCACACCCACATCCCTTCAAGTCACACCCACATTCCTTCAAGTCACACCCACATTCCTTCAAGCCACACCCACATTCCACACCCACAAGTCACATCCAAACTATAGCTAGCAGATTGTGACACCATTAAAATGGGCCACCAATGATCTGAGATTGTGTCCATCTGGCTAGCATGTCCATCTGGCTAGCAGATTATGTCCATCTGGCTAGCAGATTGTGTCCATCTAGCTAGCAGATTGTGTCTATCTAGCTAGCAGATTGTGTCCATCTGGCTAGCAGATTGTGTCCATCTGGCTAGCAGATTGTGTCCATCTGGCTAGCAGATTGTGTCCATCTGGCTAGCAGATTATGTCCATCTGGCTAGCAGATTGTGTCCATCTAGCTAGCAGATTCTGTCTATCTAGCTAGCAGATTGTGTCCATCTGGCTAGCAGATTGTGTCCATCTGGCTAGCAGATTGTGTCCATCTGGCTAGCAGATTGTGTCCATCTAGCTAGCAGATTGTGAGCAACTAGATAGCAGATTTTGACCGGCTAGCTAGCAGACTGTGACCGACTGGCTAGCAAATTGTGACCGACTAGCTAGCAGATTGTGTCCATCTGGCTAGCAGATTGTGTCCATCTGGCTAGCAGATTGTGTCCATCTGGCTAGCAGATTGTGTCCATCTAGCTAGCAGATTGTGAGCAACTAGATAGCAGATTTTGACCGGCTAGCTAGCAGACTGTGACCGACTGGCTAGCAAATTGTGACCGACTAGCTAGCAGATTGTGTCTGACAAGCTAGCAGATTGTGAGCAACTAGATAGCAGATTGTGACCGACTAGATAGCAGATTGTGACCGACTAGATAGCAGATTGGGACCAACTAGAAATCAGATTGGGACCAACTGGCTAGCAAAGTGTGACCGACTAGCTGGCAGATTGGGACCAACTAGATATCAGATTGGGACCAACTGGCTGGCAAATTGTGACCGACTAGATAGCAGATTGGGACCAACTAGAAATCAGATTGGGACCAACTGGCTAGCAAAGTGTGACCGACTAGCTGGCAGATTGGGACCAACTAGATATCAGATTGGGACCAACTGGCTGGCAAATTGTGACCGACTAGCTAGCAGATTGTGACCGACTTGTTTTAGCAGATTGTGACCGAATAGTGTCCAAAATAGATTTATCTTCTCTTTAAATCAGAATTTGAAATGACATTTCTCAGATAAAATGAAGAACTTTATTTTTAAACTCGACCTTTACCCTGACCGTTGTATTTCTATCGCTATGTCTATCTAAGGATTATGTTTTAAAGTCAGTGCAAGGCTAGAGGCTACCTTCCCGGTAGCGTCTAGTCACGGTCTCTTTTGTCTTAAAGATGCATATTATAGTCTAGCCCAGGGGTTTTCAACCTTTTTCGTTCTATTACCCCTTTCAGGATCAATCAATTACAAGCATTACCCTCTTCCCCTTATGAATCTTTACTATTATGTGGTTTTCTCTTATGTTTTCCCTGCAATCCTCTTCATATATTTGAAAATATAGCCCGACTTATAGAACGACTTGAATTATAATTTTCTTACTACTGGCTTGGATGGAATTAGCGATAGTTACGTCATAATCTGGTCAAGTTGTTCTAGAATGACAACAGACCAAACCCCAGATGACTGAAGGGAAATCAGAATAGTGTAAATAGAGGCTATAAGTATCCCCCTGCATATATACAAAGACTAGAACACCTATTTCGTATCTCTTTAAATATCTTGTCCGACCCCTGTCATGATGATCTAGGCTATCACGAAGGCTTACACAGGATCCTATTGATTTGTTAGCCATTTGAGTTGGGAGAAACGAGAGCAGACGCAGGTAAATGTATGACTTTATATAATAATACATAGTTCAATTGAAAGTTGTGGTAGAAAGATTTTGAAAATAAAACCGTTTAGAAAAATACCGGCAAATAAAATTCATTGAACGATGACATAAATGAAAACCAATTTTAATGATATATACAAAAAGTGATAAATCTGTGTTCAAAAGGAGAAAGAATTTAAACATTTTAAGCTTGCACACAATGGATGTTGGTAAGTTGGTCACAGGAAATTTGGTCACCGGAAATATGATCACAGTAATACGGGCACAAGGTATTATGGTCACAGTAATACGGGCACAAGGTATTATGGTCACAGTAATACGGCCACAAGGTATTATGGTCTCAGTAATACGGCCACAGGGTATTATGGTCACAGTAATATGGGCAAAAAATTTCTTGTTCCCGTATTATTGTGACCATAATACCTTGTGCCCGTATCATTGTGACCTTAATACTTTGTGCCCGTATTACTGTGACCATATTTCCGGTGACCAAATTTCCTGTGACCAACTTACCCACATCCATTGTGTGCAAGCTTAAAATGTTACTCTGACTGTATTTCCGATGACAAAATATCCTCTACTTTAAAAAAGTATAACTTTCTGTTATGATTTTAGATATTTGTTGCTGATGTTTGAATAGTTATCAATACAATGAAGGGATTACTCATAACTGTTACATTAGGTAGGTAACTATAGAGATCTTAACAGAGTTTTACATTGGACACCTTGTACCAGGTTGCACGTATGTACATGGACAGCATGTGCATCTGCGCCTGATTGGACCTATTGAAACGGACAGTGCCATTCGGTGTGCAGTAAGTGAATTTTGTCAGAACAGGCAACATAAATATAAAGACAGAGCTCACTGTGTATTCTCAGTGACAAGCTATTGGGAACTTCGTCTTATATAAGATATTGCGAACTTCGTCTTATAGAAGATATTGCGAACCTCGTCTTATAGAAGATATCGGGAACTTCGTCTTATATAAGATATTGCGAACCTCGTCTTATAGAAGATATCGGGAACTTCGTCTTATATAAGATATTGCGAACCTCGTCTTATAGAAGATA